ATTTAGCGATTGTAACTCCAAACTCTTTGAAAGCTGACGCCCAGCTGTCAATACCCTGATGCAAAAGAAACATCCTCCCTCTATTTTAGTTGTCAAGTTGTACCATCCTCACTCCAATAAATAAATAAATGTAACACTATAAATATACACTATTCTTAATATTTGGACTAGTAAATATAATTAATTAATAAAGGCTGATCTAATCAGATACTTTATTACCATGTGCCACTTATTTCCATTTTTGATTATTGACTTAAAATAAGATTAATTTATTGATTTTCTTTCTTTTATTCGATGGTTCCATTTCCCTTTGTGTGTTTGGGTTAGCTTATTTTGTGTTTGGAGAAACTTATAATAAAAATGCCCAAGGGAACTTTTGACTGAAACAGTCTTGTGTAAAAAAAAAAACTATCCCCGTTAGACTTCGGCTAGCGATAGTAGCGGTGAGGGCAATACTAGAAAGTAAGCAAAAACAAATATGTACAGAGCCTAAAAGAGGCTGATTCTTACTTGGCTACAACCTTATCCCATGCAGCTAGTACACACAGCACCCCAAAAACACACACACAAAGCATCCCGATCAAAATAGCAAAACAACATAGTTTGCCTTATAGTATCCTTTATGTGGTTGTTTCTTCAACTATCTAGCCCAAAAACAGAATGCACCATTTCTAGATAACAACATCTACACATAACGCACACATGCAGTCAAGAGAAACAAGTTATCTGAGAGGGAGGAATTACTAAATAAGTCAATCAGAGATGAAAAACAATGCATTAACTTACATATTGCTGTTTGTTTGCAAGTCTTGCTGAGAAACCCCATTAGACCCACTTTCATTAGCTAGACCACAACTCAATTTAAAACAATAAAAATAAGAAGACTAAAAAAGATAAAAATTAAAATTAAAATTAAAAATGGGAAAGAACAAGTGTTAAATCAGAAACTCAAAGAATGAAGCATCCAACAAAACTAATGATGAGACCTTTGATTTTGGAATGACTTTGACAGCAATTTTGGACAACAATTGCTACCTCTAAAGCCTTTCAAAAATGAAAATCAACACAAGTTCAGTAGATTAGAATCAATTGTGTTCTTGTAGCACTACTCAGTACACCAAAACCAAGCATGAATAGAAAAGAGTGACATGGACCAAAAATAAAATAAAATAGAAATGAGATGCATCAACCTAAATAGGAAATAAGCATCGCCCCTCATGCCAAGGTTGTATAGTCCCAAAAATATTGATGAACCGGGAAACCAAATCTAATGAGGAAGAAGTGAAAAATACCTAATCAAGAAAAAATAGCTTCAAGCTCTGCATTCTCTCTTGCCAAATCCAAAATTGGGGAAAAGCATCATGGCGTACATAGAATTCGAGAGCAATCTCGCAGCAGAGTTACCAACAACCTGTGAAATTCCGGTGACCGCAGCGTGTACAGTTGCAGAATGAGTTGGGAGGGAGAGAACACAAAGCTCAAAATCATGGGAGTGAAGAAGGACGAAATGTGTGAGTGGAAACCCTAGGAGAGAGAAGTAGAATAAGGCAATAAGGCAATACATCTGAATGAGTTTCTGGATCCATGAAACACAATGGAAGGTTTTGAGGAGGGAGTGTGGAAAAGAAGAGAGTGAAAGCTAACAATTTTGAGATCTAAGCGAGGCGAAAATGATAATGGCGCTAAAATATAACTAATTTTGATGTCTGTTTAATAAATTTAGACCCTTTCATTATTTTTTCCTCCATAGAAACTGAAACTATGCGTAGTGGCGTTCTCTTGAAACGCTAAAATTTATATATTTTATGGAGGTTTTATTGAACTCCAGTAAATAACCTCCACAAATCATCTAATTTTTTGTAGTGATAGGTCACTGAATTGCTAGTCGAACCGATGGATAGGTCACTGAATTGCTAGTCGAACCGATGGATCACAGGTTATATCAGTTGACCAGTGTGTGTGTGTGTGTGTATATATATATATATATATATATATATATAGGATGTCAAACTGCTTTGTAAGCATGTGACATCATTGATCTTTTTTCATTTAACGGCTCTCAGATGAGGTGTCAAACTTGAAATTTGACACCGGTGTCAAATGATCTTATCCCATATATATATATATATATATATATATATATATATATATATATATATATGACCATATAAATTTAATATTTAAAATGAGTTAAACAAGGTTCACTAAATAAACTTAAAAATTACTGAATCACATTTGTTCAAGTTCATAATTAATCAATAAATTGCACAAAAATAAGCATAAATAAATTAAAATGCACGCTATCACTCCGTCAATTTAGATTACAACACAGAATCCCCAAAAGCATACCTCTTAATAAAATCCAAAAGACCAAAAGTTGTGAACTCATATTTTTCAAATTCATATGTTATTAAAATGACATGTCACATTTTCTTAATTTATTGTTTCACAAATTGCTTAATCTTGAAAGCTGAAATTTGAGGTTACTATAGAAGAGTATACTACTAGAAAATAAAATTACAAAAGAGCTTCATTGGAGAAACAAAGGCTAGGATTTTCTTCCTTAGGTCCTAAGCTTCACTTTTCCTGAAAGGTGTTTGGTGTTTTTTTTTTTTTTTTTGATAACAAGGTGTTTGGTGTTTTAATGGATGAAACAAGGTGAATCAAGCTTACCATATTCTTCCATGGTGGTTCACGATGGTGGCTGTTTGGAGGCTGATAAGTCGAAGGGAAGAAGATAGAAAATAGGAAAATACTTAACTGATTTAATGTTTAATAACTTAGATAGTTGACTTTGACCCACTACTTATTAAAAATTGTTATTTGGTCCTTGTATTTTTATGAAACTATAACTTAATTTCTAAAATTACCTAGCCGGCATTGACATCATTTCAAACCTACAAAATTCTCTAATCTTTCTCATTATGACATCATAACTAAGTTTAGGCAAACTGTTTCTTATTTGCAAGTTGGTCCATAAACTTTACCATAATTGCATTTTGACTCCTATATTTTTTCATAATTATATTTTGGCCCCTAAATAACTTGATTGACAAGAATTGAATTCTCATTCATATTTATCACATTAATCCCATAATTAACATGTCATTCATTGTCACATATTCCATTTACACAGCTTACTAGAGTGTGTTATTATACTAGACTAATTTTACACTAACAAACCTTTTCGATAGTTTTGTGTTCAAGAGAAATGGCCTATGCCTTGTAAATTGTTGGAGTTAGTGTTAGTCATCGCCCCATTCTATTAATAAAAATAATTTTAATAAAAATAATTAGATATTGTGTAGTTTCTTAACTCAGATAGGCTGGGCCTAATGCATCATCCACCTTCCAAGCCTAATGAGTTTTCGTGTGAGGGAACGTGTTAGAGAAATATAAAATCATTAATATAACATCACCCAATAACTTAAGCTTTTAAGTTGAATTAATGTTTTACAGTTAGTACTGTCAACATTGTTTAATCATAGGAAATCCCTTAAAGGAAGAAAAATATTACTTAAATTGAGATCTAGATTCACAATGTGGGTTTTAATTATAATCAATAAGTATTGAACAAGTTTGTATACTTGATCATAATAATATGTGTGGTGTTGTACTTGAGCATCCATGGAGTAGACTTGATTATAGTGGCAACAAGATTCTCCTCCACATGTTCCGGTGAGACAAGGGGGTTGTTTGTACACCTATAAAACACTCTGATACTCATGTCAGTACCAATCATAGTCAAATGTGTAAGGTAGAATATTTAATTGATGCTTAATGATTGTGAATGAGAATGAAGACCCCTATTATATATATGGTGGATGCCGAGAGTCTCCTAAAGAGGTTTAGAGTTTTTTCTTTATTTATAGGGTCTAAGCTGGATAATATATATCCAAAACAAATATTATGTTAATTTAAGTAGAAATATAGCTATAGTTTCTTGTAGCAGATTAACTATAAGTGTCGCTATATTTTTTTTTTGGTAAACATTTGTGTAGCTATATATTATATATGTTATAAGAAATTATATGGCTATAATATTTTCTTTTTGTTGAGTGAGATTATGTAATATATGGGTGAGTGAATATTTCAGCAACCTACTCAAGTTGTCAAAATTTTGGATAGTAACTCCATCAACTTAAACATACAAAAGAAATAGGATAGTCATAACCTATAATTTACATAGTACAATATATCATTTTTGAAGATTGATAGGTCGTTTCAAGCATTGTATTTTTTAAAATAAACCGAACCAAACTTATAATTTAACTTGTATCAAGCTAATAAACCAAATCAGACTTGATATATTTTACACAAATCTAATCTATTTAGATTAAAACTTAGCTTGCCCTAACTCATTTGCTTATGTTATCTCATTGGTATGAAAATCTAGGAATATGTACATGCATATATGTTGGGTAAGAATGAGAGCTTATGGTATGAGAGAACTATTAATAATGGGTTAAACACAATTCACCATTATAATTGGGTTGACAATTGACTCCACATGCATCTCAATCCAAAAGTTTAAGACATTAAATTTATCAGGCCTTGTAAATATATTATCCTCACTTAATTCATTTCTAACATCATTGTCAGACTTTACTACTCACAAATAGATTCCCATCATTATAAGGTTTTGTTATCATATAAAGTAATCAATTCAACTCAAAATAACAAATTCAATCCAGTTTAAACTATAAGGTAGAGGCACAATAATAATTTTATATTTATCTAACAGTATAGGTATATCAAAGTGAAATAACTGGCCAATAAGGATTAATTCAACTAGTAAGATTCAACAATGTTGACACAATGGTTGTCACTTTGATTTCTCTTAGCTAGTGCTGTTTTACTGGTAAGTCATCTATAGCTAAATCCTATCTAAGACTTGGGCCATGCTCTATCTTAAACTGTCCTCTCCTTTTCTATACTGTTCCAATAAAAGGAAAATAAAATGCTATACATAACTTCCAAGATTCAGAAAAAAATGGAAAAGTAAACTACAATTTTTTTATTTTTTTTTTGGGACTGGAAAGTAACATGTTTTGTTCATATAAAGGTTATGTTTGGAGCATATTCATCTTTGACTAAAGCTACGACGAATTTATGTTTTGCATTTGGCAAAAGAAGTAACTGTAAAATCAAATTAATTACAATTATGAAGCAGAATACTTGTATAAAGTATGAACATAACTTTCCTCAAGATAACTTGTAGAACCAATAGAATCGTCTGATAGAGTTTGGTCTGAGTTGGTTGTGAGATCCTCTTGCATCATTTCATGTGGATATAAGGAAGGTTTTGGTGGCATATCAATGCCCTCAATTTCTCCTTCCAGCATCTCTACTACTTTGTTCATTGAAGGACGATCGCTTGGTTTTAACTGTATACACCATAATGCAACTATGAACATCTTCTTTGCCTCATCATTCTTTTCCTCGGTAATATCTTCCATTTCCAACTCATTTTCTCTGCTCAATTGATCATAAATCCAAAGAGGGAAGAAAAGCTCGCTTGAATGCTCTGCTTGTTTGTTCAAGTTTTTTCTCCTGCTTGCCATTTCCATCAAAAGCATTCCAAAGCTATAGACATCAGCTTTGTACGATACTCCCCCAATATTACGGTAGAATAATTCAGGAGCCATGTATCCAATTGTTCCCCTTGCTGCTGTCAAAGTCACAATACTTTTGTCTATTGGATAAAGCTTTGCGAGGCCAAAGTCTGAAACCTTAGGGATAAAGTTCTCATCAAGAAGGATGTTATGGGGCTTGATGTCAAAATGCAAAATCTGCATGTCACAGCCTTGATGCAGATAAGCAATGCCACGAACCACTCCAAGAGAAATCTCATATATTTGCTCGTAAGTTAAAGAAATACTATCCTCTTTCGAGAAAATATGTCTATCAAGAGAGCCATTGGGCATGAATTCATACACAAGGGCACGTTTTGATGCCTCAACACAAAATCCAATAAGTCGAACCACATTGGCATGGTGTATTCTACCTATGGTTGCGACTTCACTGATGAATTCTTGCCCATTAGCCTTTGATTTACTCAACATCTTTATGGCTACAAATGGCCCACTACGTAACTTTCCTTTATACACCATACCGAACCCTCCTTGACCCAGCTTTTCTTTAAAACCTCTGGTCATCTGCTTTATTTCTTTGTATGAGTACCTTATTGGCATGAAGGTATTTTCTTGCAGAAAATCTTCGATATTTTCATAGTTTGATGTATGTCTTCTTCCCCATTTGTAGATTAACAGTACAATGAAAGCTACGACACCCAATACAAATCTGACAATAAAGTATGGTAGGAGATACCTTCCCGTGCCTTTTCCGTTCTCAACGTCAATTCCATGGTATCTCCAAGCTCTATTCACGCCAAAAAATTGCAATAGTCCTGCATGCGTGGGTGGGGGTATATATCACCTTAAAACTAATTATGGCTATTCTCATGTTATTTGTTTTGCCATCCCAAATTTTCAAACGAAATATGTACAGTTTATAACAACTAAATGTGAATAAATAAATTGTTAAGACTTGCATATCATTTGAAAGTGTCGGGTAGAATTATTGTAAAATTTAACACTTGCATTTTTTTATATGAAGTCAGAAAATAAGAAGAAGAAAAAACTAAATGAAACGAGCACCATAACTAGAAGTCCTCTATTTATGCATGAATATTTGTCTATTTTTTACATCAGATTTTCATATATTTGGGGATCTGGCTGAGATTAAGCTTGATAAGAAAATATTTAATGATATAATCAATGAGAAAATAACATTAGAAAGGAAAATACATGCCACGGAATAACATCTTACCTTTATAAACGCCAATGCAGTATGAAGCTGTTAGAAATTTTTGAGATGTCAACAAATTGATAAGACTATTACAATTTAAGGAATAACGAAAGATAGTAGCAGAAACACACACATATATATATATATATATACTCGCAGAAAAAATGAAGAATGAAAAAAAAAAGGATGGAATTCTCACCTATAATGTCAATTGTGCTGGATGATACTAAAAGACCTAAAAGAAAATATTGAAAAAAACATTTAGGGAACTACAAGAAGATTTATAAAAAGAATTTTATAGGATGTTAAAAACATACACAATTCTTCTAAATTACCTTTTAATGCTATATTTCCATGTGGTTTAAAAACTTTAATTTAAATATTAATTATTTAAGAAAGTTATACCTTTTTTAACGATATAATAACACATAATTAAATTATAATATAATTGATGTAAAACATAAACTTCTATATATACAAAACACAAATTAACTATGATTGGTGTTACTTGTAACATCCCCAACCTCGAGCCGGTTCAATTAACATGCATATGATACTTAACAGAAACAGCGGAAGACTTAACTTACGAAAATACGAACTAACTTTTTCTTTTTCTTTAATCCTTTTTCACATGACATATCACATTGCATGCTTCTTCTAATTTAATTCTTATTTTACGGAGACGAAAATCGAACAGAGTAACCTCTGTAAATCGGACAACTGGGGATTTTTCAATCCCACTCTCAAGAGTTCCTGATAGACAGTTTAAACAATATATATTTCCAGAAGTACCAGTCATGCAAATATACTCAGATACCCATCTATGGGCGCATGCTGAACTTGGCTCCGTGCCACAAATCTAATAGCATGCAATCCAATACATAACATAACTGAATACTACATAGTCATATCATCATGCCTGAATACATAAATGTACATGTATCGAATATGAACACTATGCAACAATACATCTTTTCCAAAAATACGTCTAAAACAAATAGTAGCATCCGACCACCCAGAACTCCACATCCTCATACTAGTACCTCTAGCCACGGTTAGTGTCCTGGTCCCATGAGGCTCTTCAATTAACTGTGTTACTGAAATCATATCCCCAAACGGGGTTAGAGACGAATCTCTAGTAAACTCCAGGTTTATGGAAAACCCTCCATACCCTGGGCTCACTTCCTGCATGACAGTCAGATACATAATATACAAAACATCATATAAGCAATTATCATAACTGAACAAAGCATATATACATATCTTATCAAAGACAAACGCAATCATTCCCAATGGATGACCCCAAGCGAAAATCAACGCACGTAACAAATATCTTTTACAAAAATCATCACAATACTCATATCAGAACAAACGTGTTATATCAGAGACGTACGCAATCGTTCCCAAGGGATGACCCCAAGCGGAAATCAACGTACGTAACAAATATCATTTACAAAATCATCATACATATCCCATAAAACATGTCATGTAATCAAATATCATAACTAAACAAAACATATACACATATCTTATCAGAAACGTACGCAGTTATTCCCAAGGGAGGACCCCAAGCGGAAATCAACGCACGTGTTCCCAAGGGAGGACCCCAAGCGGAACCAGAACATATCAGAGGCGTACGCAGTCATTCCGAAGGGAGGACCCCAAGCGGAAATCAACGCACGTGTTCCCGAGGGAGGACCCCAAAGCGGAACCAGAACATATCAGAGGCGTACGCAGTCATTCCCGAGGGAGGACCCCAAGCGAAAATCAACGCACGTGTTCCCGAGGGAGGACCCCAAAGCGGAACCAGAACCTATCAGAGGCGTACGCAGTCATTCCCAAGGGAGGACCCCAAGCGGAAATCAACGCACGTGTTCCCGAGGGAGGACCTCAAAGCGGAACCAGAACATATCAGAGGCGTACACCATCAGTCCCGAGGGAGGACCCCAAAGCGAACATCCGGGTACTATACAATCAATGGCCAGATATTGTTACAGAAATCATATTACAGAAGTCATATCATAACAAAACATATCATATTAACACATATCAAAGTAAATACATCAAAACAAAACATATCATATTATCATATAGCTCTATATGAATGCATCTATATCATATATCTCATACATATCATACAACCTGACCACAGTCCGTACACTATGGCGGAACACAAAGTAGGAGCAAACCCCATAAACATAGAGCTTACCTCTTGGAGCTTTACAATTTGCTTACTTGAAGAACAAGCTATTTATCTTGCTCCACGAGAATCCAAACGTTCACAGTCTCTAGGCACACCTAGAGAAGGAATTCAACACAAAACTCAATAAAATGATATAATGCCATGTAAATATACAAGACACATACTTTATTGTTTATTTTCTTTTTACTTAATCATATTAAGTCATGAGTGGGTGGTTCTTTGTTCAACAAATCCCTACAAAATTCCACATGTTCACTTAGTCTTAGGATAGTCCCAAAAGGCCTTTAGAACACTCATTACTCCTCTTACCACCTAAAAGCCTATTTTTCCCAATTTAAGGCAGAATGCCCATTACAAAGGAGCTATAAGATTTCTCTTTGTCTAGTGCCTAAACCCAAGCTTAGCCACCTATATAAATTATTTTACACATATAAGTGTTCTTACTTTGCGAAACAATATCTCCGCAAATATACTTCCTTTGAAAATGGCCAAAACTCATTTTAAGGCCATACAAAGGAGCTACCTTATTTTCTTTTTTATTTCACCAAAGCGAAGGTCTATACACCTTAAAATATTATTCCACGCATAAAATTATGCTCGCTTTGTAAAACAGTAGCTCATAGCACATACTTCCTTTGAAAATGGCTAAGAGGCACATACAAGAAATCATGCCAACTTCATGATTCCAATGCTTTAGTCCATCAAATTCAAGCTTATCACACACCTTTAATCCAAGAAATACATTTTCACCGTTAAAATTCTCATCTAAACATTTTTCTCAACATGAGCTAAACTTGAATCAAGCTCTAACATGCTCAATCAAAACAAATTTTCAAAATGAAAACCTAAATTCAATCTTCATAAAAACATGAAAAGGAAGGGAATTTCTTACCACAATGCACTCTAGAACAAAGGAGAGATGAGTTCCTAAGCTCCCATGGCCTCAAGCTCCATCAAAATCTATCTTTTCCATGAAATTCGAAATCTTTGGGGGAGAAGATCTCTCTCTACAGTGAACCCCACCCAGAAATATTGGTACCAATAGGTTCCTCTCGAAATTTCTCACAGGTTTGGCTTTGGAACGGAGTGATTTGGAGGTCTCTAGCTCAAGTTATGAATTTTGGAAGATTTAAAACCAAAATCTCCGTTCTTTCTTTCCCTTACTGTCGTCGGATGAAACGTAGAAGAAGGAGAATAGTGACTTAATTGAGTCAATTAATGAGTTTACTTTATCAGTGGGTATAAGCTTATCTATCTACACACCTCCATTCATTACCAAACTTTACCCTATGGACTAGAATATTTTTCTAGTCACTTTTTTATATTTACTTTCACTTTTTGGATAACTTTATTTACCCGCATTTTTACTACTTTACTGTCATTTTAACTCTTTTTTTCACCAAAGGTGACTTACTTATCTTTTTCATAACTACTATACTTATCCTTCATAAGACATAACACATATTAAATCCATAACTACTAGTGAGGGCTATTATATTCACCCCACCTTTTAAGGAGTTTTGCCCACAAAATCGAAACTTATAAGACACTTCCTCACACCTAGAGCACCCCTAAACCTGTAGTCGGAGACAAACTAATAAACACATGATTCCCTTCATAAAATTCCCTAAACCTGTAGTCGAAGACAAACTAATAAACAATCTCTTTTACATATAATCGAGCCAACTGCTCAGTAGAGAAACTCATCTTGACTGGAATGAAATGCGCAGACTTAATCAATCTGTCTATCACAACTCATATAAAATCAAAACCAACATGAGTTCTCGGCAATGCTACTACAAAATCCATAAAAATACTGACCCATTTTCGATTCCGGAATA